CTAAGAATATGCAAAGTCATAAAATGCTTTTAAAGTGGTTTACGTGGCAAAAGCAGGATTACAAACAGAACAGGATTAGAAAAGCTTCAGGGTGCAAGTTCCTGGAGTTATGCGAGTACCTAAAAATCTGAACTTTTAATTTCAGGAAGAAACAAAGACTTCAGAGAATGGTTCTGACTGTTGCAGCTGCTGCAGGTCAAACTTGAAAGTGTGAAAAAAGCATCAGTAGGTCAGTAACAGTGAGACAGAATCAATAGTTCAGAGAGGATGAATTTTTGTATGTGCTGTACTGGAGCATTAACTACCCTTCAGCGGCTCAGTGGCTGTATCAGACCTTACCTGGGGGATGCCACAGGGTCAGGACAGAGTGGAAAAGAACTGGCAGTTGGTCTGGGTTAGCAACTTAGAGAAGGAATACCAGCAGGAAAAACAAATTAGAGCTGTTCTTTCCTCCCCTATTCCCTGAATGCTTGTCGTTTGAACCCTTGGAAGGAAACTGATGAGCAACTATGCTTTGTGCTGGCCTCTCTTTGAGGCCATTTGTTGCTTGTTTTCTTTTAAAGTCTGAAATGTTAGAAAGAGGTAATTATTTTTCCTATTTGGCTTGACCTCTTGCTTCCTGGGAGTGTACCTCCCCTTGTACTGGCTCTGTCCTCACACAGTGCTCTGTTGAAAGAAAGTTCAGCAGAAAACTAGAAAAAAGCTTGGGATTTGGAACAAGACATGCCCTCAAACAGACGGTCTGAATCTCTGCAACATGTCCTATTCCTCTCTGGAGGTGCTGTGAGGTATCAGATGTCAGTCATGCACTAGGTGGTTCTGAAATAGCAATGTTAGGGAAAACACTTCCATGAGTTGGAAGCTGCTCCATCAGTCACCTCTCCTACCTTTGTGAAGCAAGCCTTTTACCCAGCTGCAGTTTCTCATAAGCAGAGAGGTTATCTGTGGCTATAATCTTGATTGCCCAGCAAATTGCTGAATGCCTGAGGAAGCAGGAGGATGTGTGGGTTTTTTCAGGGTGTGTGGGTTTTTCAATCTGGTTTACAGTGAGCACTGGAGGTTGAGTGTTTAAGATGCCTCTGGATCCTGACACCAATTGTTGCAGTATTAGACAGCTGCATTCTGTGCTGGGAGGCCACCCCAGCATTCTGGAATAGCCCTGGGAGTTAAATAAACTGCTGTTTGCTTCAGAAGCTTTGGATTATGAGACTGGCAAAGAGTGGCTATCCAGGTAGAGGCAGACCCAAACACTGTGTGAGGCAAGCGTGAAGACTATGTCTCTATTGGGGGAGTGAAGGTACATACTTCAGTTACAGACTATTTTCTTCAATTGCCCAATTTTCCTTCCCTCCCTCATCCCTCCAGTAAATGCTACCTTCCTCCTAAAGGGCATGGACCTATATATCATCAGTACACATGACCAAAACTTTGGTGCCAGAGTCCTTTGTCCTTTATCCAGCTGCAAATCTGCTCAGCTCCATGTGATGCAGCAGCACAGGGATTTTCAGCTTTTGTTCTGCTGTTTACAAAGAGTGAAAAAGATAAAAGGAAAAATGTTCATAAAACTAGTGCACAGTTATATAAAGAAGTGAACTGAAAACCTGCAGCAGGATCTGTCCGAGATCTGACTTGGTCATCTCTCCAAAGAGGATGTTTACTTGCACCCCTTATGTGATGTCTGTACTGTTCAGTTCTCTGTAAAGCAACAAAAATGGAAGACACTTTTACTGTGATTTCTTACTGTGTGCAAAACATAGGTGGCCTTTGAGGTACCCCATTATTACTTTAATAAAGAATTGATGATTCAAACTGTACGTGTGGGACACCCAAGCAGAGTGTCCAGTTGCAGGATTGCATATAACCAATGGGTTGGCTCATCTGTGCAAGTTTTTGTGAGGAGGGGACTCCCTTGAATGATTGGCAGAGGTAAAAACATGACATGTGAGAGAACTTGGAAGAATAGTGGCCTCCATATGCTTTGGGATCTTGACCTCCAATTTAAAGTCTCTGGACTGCTTGCCTTTCTATTTTTTGGTGGCTGTTTGAACAGCACCTTTAGGTGAAAAATGTGTTTGCTTCTCAGTCTTGAAGATATTGATATAAGGGAAAATCTTGCACAAAAGGATTAGAAAAAATTGGAGAAGTTAAAGCTTGTAATAAATTCGGGCTGAGGGAATATAAAAACTTAAAATTAGTTTAGCACATTACTTGACAGATGGGAAGTAATTTATGTAAAATTAGGGAAGTGGTAGTTGGATTCAGTTGATCTAATTTAAACACTATGTCTAATTATTTTTTTGTATGTATACAGAGGATTATAGAATGGCCATTATCCTGACAGAAGGACTCTTCAGGTTTAAATTTAAATCCATAAATAAGTACCCTATTAAAATGTAAACATGCTGTGATAACAAGCACCTGATTATGCAGACAGGTTAGTCCAGCTACTCTGGTGAACAGCTGTGTGCATGTGTTTCAGATAATGCTTTTTCTTATGCCTTAAGAACCACAGGCCGAGCCCTTGAGAGGTCAAGAGGTGCCTGACCCACAGGTGGGAGCTGCCCATAAGGAGGTTTCCTGATGCTGAGTGCAGATCTGAGAGCAGATGGGCTCTCACGGGTTTCCACTGGAAGCAGGCCTGGTGGCACACAAGGGCACAGAGAGAAGATGACACAATTCCCCCTCCCTACACTCTGGTGCTGCTAATCCAAATTTAAACTCCCAGCAGCATCTTTGGACAACCTTCTCCTTTACATTTTGACAGCTCTCTCCTTCTGCCAAGAGAAAGATCATGTAGGTTTACTGGGGAGCTGCCAAATGACAGCTTGACTTCACACCTGAGAAGCAAATGAATGAGAAGGAAAGCCTCAGCCTGCCTCCAGCCTGGCACAAACACAAAGAGTCTTGGAAGCCTGGGCATGAGCAACCCCTGGAGCTGCAACAGCAGCAGCAGATGTGACATGAGCAGAATCCAAGCTGAAGCTACAGTGGAGGAGGGAGCATGGGGCCTGTTACCAAACTGCAAAAGCAGTATCCGTCAGCTGCACACCCTGGGGGGAGGTGGAGGCCTGGCCATGGATGATTCTTGGAGGTGCGGGATAAGGCTTGGAGCTCCACACTGTACAGCAGCCTTCTCAAGTTGATTTGGCTGGCTTTCCTTCCTTAAGCCATTGCAGAAAAGACATGCATTGCTCTCTCAAGACGTGCATTAACAGTCAGCAGGGCAGCTGACAACCATGATTCATTCTTTACCCCAAAGCCAGTATTTTTGGATGTGTAACGCATGGTTTATAAACTCTGTGGGTAGAGGGCACTAAGAATGAGGCTGCATGACAGCTCTGCTCCTTGTGGGTTTAGGGCAGAATGCCAGACTGTTGTGGAGAACTGCAGGCAGCCTGACTCCACGGGTGTTCAGGGACCCCATGGGTGTTCAGTGACAGTGCAGGTGCTTGTGAGCAGTCACCTCTCTCCTCCCACATGCATTGTGGTGAGGTGTCTGGCAGGGTATGCTGTGGTTCTTAAGCCTTTTTGTGAGAGAAAGACTATTACAGCTACAGCTACAAATTGCCCTTGGCTCTCTAACTGCTGGTAGAAAAGTCAAGTAGTTGAAGTTGTGAATTTCAGACCACATTTTAAAATGGGAGAAAAATGCTTTGCATGAAGGTTTTTTCACCAGTATGATGAACATTGTGCCTGACTCATCTTTCATATGGAAGAACTAAGCAAGCTAAGAAATGACCCTCAGAGCAGGGATTTCTATCTCATTTTTCTTTTAAGGTAAGACATTTCCAAGGACTGGCCCCAAAGACTTCAAGTTTGTTGCCTGACCCCACCAGGTGTTTTAAATTCTGGAAGTCAGGCAAAGCTAGCTGGATGCCTTTGCAACAGCTTTCAGAGCAAGAGAACAACTGTCCCTGTAGGACCAGACTGATGCCCAGGTCCTGCAGTGCTGGATGTTCTCTGGCCAACTACCAAAGTGTCTGTAACGTGAGGGCTGGGAAAGCGTCAGGCTCTTCTATCAGCACCCTGGGCTGCACTACAGAGGCAGCAGGAGCTTTGTGGAGCCTCCTGGGAACAGGAGGTGAGTAATCACAGTTGCAATTCATTTCAAAGAGACAAATGAGCTCTCCTGCAGAAAGCTGGGACACCTGCTGAGAGGGCTGGTTGGTTGGGGTTGTTTGGTTTGGTTTTTTTTTTGTGGGAGAAATGTTACTTCTAGGTTCCGGTGGAGAAATTGAGTGAGAAAGCCTTGCACGTCCCTCGAAGGGTGGGCATTTTCATGGCAATCGTAGAGTGACTTCCCTGGGAAATAAGGGATGTCAGCGTTAGAGCCAGGAACTGACCTCCTAACTGATGGCTTCAGTGCAGTGCTTCGGCCACGAGGCTGTCCTTCCTCTGTTTCTGCTGACCCTTCATTATCTGCTTTTTTGGCAAGGCTGGGACGCTGGGAGTTCACCCTTCCTCGGGCCCCTGTACAACAGCAGCTTTTCAGAGGGGATCCTTACACAGAGGAAACATTTTGTTCTTCCTCGGGCGATCAGAAGAGCGGCTCAGCAGCCGCACAGGAGCACGAGGGTCTGGCGCTCACACGGCACTCGGAGCCCCCGAGCAGAGGCGGCCGTAGCCCTGTGCTCTGGAGGGCGCGCTGCCAGCAACCCGCCAGCGAGTGAATTAAGGCGAAACGATGTAAAAGGAAGCCAAGACTCGCGGAAGAGCGCGCACACCTACTTATTTATTGTTTCCCAGGACAGCGGTCCCGGGGCCGCCCGCGGGCCGCGCCGCCCCTCCCCCGCTCCCGCCGGAAACGCCCCCCGCGCGCCGCCGTCGCGGAAGTGGGCGCGCGGGGGGCCGCGCGGAGCGGCGCATGCGCAGGAGGCGGCGCGCGGCCGCGCCCCGCCCCCGCCGCGGTGGGGGTCTGGCGCGCGCTCCGAGCGCGCGGCGCGAGGCCGGGCCCGGGCGGCGGGGGCAGAGCCCGGGGGGGCGGGGGGAGCGCGCGGAGCGGGCCGGGGGCGAGGGACGGACAGACAGACAGACGGACGGGCGGCCGGTGAGAGGATGTGAAGATGGCGGAGCTGCAGATGCTGCTGGAGGAGGAGATCCCCGGGGGGCGCCGGGCCCTGTTCGACAGCTACACCAACCTGGAGCGGGTGGCCGAGTACTGCGAGACCAACTACATCCAGGTGCGCGTGGGCCGGGCACGGGCGCGCCCTCATGGCTGTGCCCGCGGGGCTGCCCCGCTCGCCGGGCCCGAGGCGGCGGGAGGGTAGCGCCGGCTGGTGCAGCCTGGCGAGGGGGGGGGAGAGCTGCTTCACCTCGAGCGTGAACTACCCTGGCGTGACGAGGCGCTTAAATATGTAATTGATTCCTAAGTTGAATTCCTTCTACTTTGTGAGTGGATGTTTATTCCAGATCGTGTCTCTGTCGCCCCTATTCGTTCCCTCCGCAAATTCTGATCTCCTTTGCTGTGTGCGCTGAGGGGATGTGATAAACCGAGGGCACGGCTGACTCCTGCAAATACAGTGTTGGTGACTGTTAATTTAGAGCAGAATGACATATACTTTAGTAGGGTTGTGTCTGTCTATATTCCCCTTCTCGAGCAGGACTGTGGAATTCTATAGGAAGGGCAGCTACCAAGTGGTAGGTGCGGGATGGAAGCGTGATGTAGTAGAGCTGGTACAGAATTAGGGAGAAGGAGATGAAGTGCAAGTTGCTACCGCGTAGTGTGGTTTTTGCGGTGGCTGCTCTAAAGCCAGGCGGGTGTTAGGACTCTGCTTCTTAAATTTCTCTTTCTAGTGGAAAGAAAAGCAAAATATTCTCGGTTTAGTTTGATACTGATAATTGGTCCAAATGAAAACTTTGCCCCTATACACAAGAAGACCCCGTAAGACATGTCTGAATGTGCAGGAGAGAAAGGTGCGGGGCATACCGTGTAATGTTGAGAGAATTCCGAAGTGTCCCAGAATTGTTTTGGAATTCAGTCCCCTAAGGGCAGACAGAGTGCTTGTGTGCTTCCAGAGGGCAACTAGCGATGAGATCTGTGGTGAGATTGTTCTGTCAGTGAAAATGGGAGAGACTATTTAACCAGAGGCAGGGAATACTTAAAATGACCCTGTAAAAACGCTCTCACTGTTGCTTTTGAATTGCTGAATGACCAGCTGTCCTTTAGAATTTGCATATTTTGGGTCATTTATAAAACAGGTCAATTACAGTAAAATTATATAGATGTATTTTATTATGTAATAACTTTTCTGATGTTCAGTTATCGTGACTTGGGGTTTTGAAGAGACGTGTTGAAATATTTTCTTACAGTTATGACCTGACATGCATGCATTTAAATTTCTGTTTTTTTTGAAAAGTGATTTTTCTGGAATATAGGAGAAGAGTATTGGTTGGCAGAACCAGATAGGAAGACCTGCATGTAGTTGGGGTTTTTTGCTTTGACTTTTTGTTTTTATTCTTTGTATAAATCAAAGTTTGCAAAATCTCTATGGAACAGCTCCACTTTTAATGTCTTAATCAAAACTGCAGAAGATGCCGTTTTGTGCAAATAGAAAACAAAAAAAAGACGGTTATTGCCCCAGACAGCACACAGTCCATAAGGACAGTCTAGGATCACAGGAGATGGATACAGACAGATGGTGAATGAAGGAAAAGAATGAGGCACTCTTGGTCAGCCTGATGGATTGTGACCACCACACAGCAATATCCAAGTATCATGATAGCACAGAGCTTTAAGGGGGAGGTGAGAATTAAAGAATGAAATTGTGTTGTGAGCATTGACTGTGAGGTGCGGTATGGGTCATGGCATCAACCTGCTTAAATTTTTTAGCAAGTGAGGAATGGAGGACATTAGCCAGGCAAAAGGTTCCAGCTTTTGGAATTCTCTGAGACATCAGAGAGTGGGATTGTTGTGGAGAAGAGGTTCAGTGTGAGGGGATTCTGGATTTAGTGATGTGAGTGTCCTAGTAACAAATCTGTCAGTGAGCTAGCCCCACCTTCCCAGTGCCACAGCTACATAAACTGCTGCACCAGATCTCTATAAAAAGCTGTTTTTTTCTTCTCTGCAGGAGGGGAATAGATTAATGGGAATAAATATTGGATAATTGGATATTTGTGGTTTTGCTTTTAATAGTATTTATTATTCCAAAGTTGTTGTGCCTCAAAGAAGTCCAAATTATATTCAAAATAGTAACCTTGAATTTTGTGGGGAAGATGGGTTTGTAAATGCTCTGAAATGCATGGAAAAATAATTGTCCAGAAAGTCATGTAATGAAGATGAACTAATTCTACTGTAATCCTGTAGTATTTCACTGCTGACAGAAGATTTGTTGTGGATAACCTTGAGATCTAGGAGAGGCTCAGAATGGGACTGAGACCTGAAGTTTATCTGCAGGATGTTAGGTGCTGTGGCAATGGGGACATGAGGACACTTCATTGGCGTACATTATCTATTTCAGTAGCCAAGCCATTCCCTTTCTGTGCCAGTTGCTGCTTTGAAGTTTTATTGTCCAGTACAGAAACTGTTGCAAAAGCCAGTGAGGCATAGGCCAGTGTAATAGAATTTGAAGTTCTGGGCTAAAGTGAATGTATTTTTTCTCCCCCCCCACCCAGCAACATAATTGCAGCTTTAAAATAATTAAACATGTAATCTCATACATGAGGAAATTGCTAGTTCATAGTAGTAGAGCTGTGGCAATTTCAACTCATTTGACTTCTGCTTATGAAATGAAAAATCTGTTCTTAAAAATTTTGTCACTGTTTATCCAAATTATGATTGATATGTAACTCGATTACTTTAGCAACAGGGGATGTTACATAAAATGTTATCCTTCCCTTGAGTCTGTGGTATGGCAGTGTATTAGAGAACATCAACTTTAAATTTTGTGGAAAATTATAGGAAATACAGCAAATGTATGATAAATAGACTTGCAGCAGTGCAAGAAAAGACTGCAGTTTGGGGGGAAAAAAGTTTCTTCATGTCAAAAATGTTTTATTCTCTAATAGCTTGGATAAATCGTTCAGTTATTTTTATGTTATGCTACTTCTTAAAGAGAAAGGCAAGCAAAGCTTTTTTATTTATGCAGTGTGGTATCTGACACAATGTGAATCACAGGTTAAATTTTATATGGTCTGTTCGATGCTTTATGTACTAGTGCTGTGTCCTCTGTTACACGTTCAGTCTCAGTCTAAACTGAATTCTATAAAATTTGGTTATTTGATGTACTTGGTATTTGCAGTCTACATTGATTTATCTGTTCTTTCATAAAAAGCAAATAATAGTTATATTGGGCAGTGTGCTGTGTTTACACAATTTTCATATTCCTGCTTAATTTTGTTCAGGAGTGTCATAAAGAAAATTTCTACTTATGATAGTATAAGTAACAAGACCATACAATTATGTGACTTGCACATCTTGTTACTAAAATACTGACATAAATTCCAACACTGCCCTGTTAAGTTTCTTGGAGCTTGTCCTCTTTAAGTCTATTCTGGAATAATCTTTTGTTTGTTTCTCATTATCTCTTTTTAAAAATCACTCTTTTTAAAAATCAGCTTTTCATTTTGTGCAGTGCATGGAGCTTTCTAGAGTAACCAAATGCTTGTGTCTGTAACTCTTTGTTGAAAGAGTCAGAAAAAATTACCAGGTGGAGACATTTTAGCCTGTAACTGTCTGGTGGGCAGAGAGTTGAGGTGGGGGAGGTCCCTCCACCACAGAATGCAGAACTGAGTGAAAAGCCAAGCCTCTGTCCCCTGCCCAGTCTTCGGAAGGAACCTCTCATTTCTCTGATGCAGCTGTGTTGGCTGGATTCTTTAAAAAGGCTCTGTATTTTTTAGTTATTCAAGGTTATTATGCTTTACTTGTCAGCTCTAGAGACAGAAGAGGGACCTCCTGATTTCCCTCCCTTCATAGTCTCCATGTTGCCATGACTGTTTGTGTTTTATATACAGAAACACTCTTGTGTTGTTTGTGAGGGGAAGGGTAGAAAGAAGATTTTAATTCTTGTTCTTAGTAATCCATCCTGCTGATTACTAGGAATAACTTGCTTTCATTCCTGCAGATAGTTTTATTTAACTAGACAGGTGAGAACTACTTATTTCTTGTTAATTTTACTACAGTCCATAGATCAATGAGTTTCATAATTGCTTTCCACATATCTGTTAATTTTACTTAGATCTCATAAGCAAAACCAAATGGCTGTAGATTTGGAAGCATCTTCAGTAGGCTGAACAAGAAAATAAGGCATCTATTAGTATATTATTTTTAAATTACAGGAATGGTGATCTTTACAAACAGCAGCTTAATGGTTACAGCTTTAGTAATGGGAAATTTCTATGGAGTCGCTTGTAATGACCCGTACCAGTATATAACCTGTGTAATTGTGCAGGGAATTGTAGGCATTATGGTTTATAAACAAGTTCAAGAATGATCTCTCTTCAATTTACTGAAGATATATATCACTTTAACAGAGGTGACTGAGTTATATTCAGAAAATCTGTTTAATTATCAGAAGTGTAAATATCAGAGGAAAGCTGTTTTCACTTTTTTTGTTCCTTCAGCTTGTTTATTATACAATCCAACTTCAGTAAAGGAATGATTAATCTTAATGGTCTTAATGATCATCTTAATGATGGAACACTTGTTCTGCTTGCATGAAAGTGGATATTGATTAGCTCCAGTGAATATTAGTCCAGAAGTTCAGGAAGATAATAACAAGTTGAAACTCTCTGAAGCTAGTAAAACAGTAGTAATGAATATGTGGGCAATGTGCTATACTGTCTCACTTATAAATTCAATGAATATTACATGGATATATCATGTCCATCAGCCTATGGTGGGACTTCATGAAAACCATGTGATTTTAAATTTTAAGTATACAGTGGTGGATTAAGCTTGAAAGTCAGCCAGGTGCCCACCAAGCTGTTCTCTTACTCTCAATCCTCAGCTGAACAACAGGAGAAAGTAAGAAAAAAACAAACCAGCTCATGGGTTGAGTTAAGGACAAGGAGGTCACTCACAAACTACTGTCCTGGGCAAACCACACTCAACTTGGGGAGTATTAATTTAATTTAGTGCGAATTAAAAATAGAGTAGGACAGTGAGAAACAAAATTAAAACTAAACCCACCTTCCTCCAGCCCTCCCTTCTTCCCATGTTCAATTTCTTTCCTTCATTTCTAAC